ACACAAACACACACACACACACACACACACACACACACACACACATAAAGGCGCAGAAACCAAAGAGCACAGGGGCATAAGTCGAAATTGGGTGTAGAATTGAATAGAGAATAGAGATGCAAAGAGGCAAAAAAGCACGTGGATCGGGATTCAGATGGGAATGAAAAGGAAGGTGACATGGGGAAGACGAGGAGGAGGAGGAGGAGAAGGAGGAGGAGGAGGAGGAGAATGTGAGGTGTACAAATTATTATGGGGTAAAAGGAGCAGGAGGAATTGTGCCCAACATGGGCAAACGTGAGAGACAGCAAGTATTCTTTCATTTCTTTTGTCAGTTTTTCGCAGCATCGTCTTCTGGTTCACATATAGGGCCTCGCTGCACTACTCTCGAAAAGTGCAAAACGAGAGTGAATCTTCCACTAGATTATAGAAAGATACAGCGCCATGATTTTTGTCTTTTGCGCATGTCGATAGCCGGGAACATTTCAAAAGATACAGGCAATCCAGGATCGACCTGGATGATTACGGACACATCCGGATCCAGACCCAGACTTGGTCCAGACGCCATTCGGATGCCCTCATTGATCCAGATCCAGACTTGGAAAGGGGGCTGCCCAAATCACTTTTTTTCATGGACTAGCGCATTAACGCGTCCCTCTCTGAGTCAGTGGATCTCACGTACGCTACAACGGTCCCTCCATCATCCACCTCCTACTTTGCCCCGTGGCACCGTCACCTGGCGCCTCCTTGCTCATCTGTTGGCACTAGAGCTGCAGTTTCCTCTCGTCTACTGGTACCTTTCACCCTGGTTGCCTCTACTAGCTATAGGCCAGCAGTTTAGTCTGCGGTTTGGATTCCTGCAGTTACTACAATTACCCCTGCAGTTACTACGGTTACCCTTCCAGTTACTACGGTTACCCCTGCAGTTACTACGGTTACCCCTGCAGTTAATGTCATTACCCCTGCAGCTACTACAGTTACCCCTGTAGTTACTACAGTTACCCCTGCAGTTACTACAGTTACCCCTGCAGTTACTACAGTTACCCCTGCAGTTACTACAGTTCCACCTGCAGTTACTACGGTTACCCCTGCAGTTACTACGTTAACCCTTCCAGTTACTACGGTTACCCCTGCAAATACTACAGTTACCGCTGCAAATACTACCATTACCCCCGCAGTTACTACAGTTACCCCTGCAGTTACAACGGCTACCCCAACGGTTAGCCCTGCCATTACCCCTGCGGTCACCACCGCGGTTACCCCTGCAGTCACCCCTGAGGTGACCAGTGACCCCCATTCTCACCGCCCGTGCAGACAACAGCTGTTCCACAGCTGCGTCTCACAATCTTCATCTCGATTGTCCACAGTTGCTTCTCTGGAGCCCTCAGCTCTCTAGGGCTTACAGCATTCATTTCAAATCCTTTTTCGAGAATGAATCAACCCTCTCTCCTCTCTTTGTGCTTAGGCGGAGACAGCTGCATTCCTCCTCGCCGCCTCCATCTTCTCCTCGGTGTCGTTTGCAAACTAACTCCAATGTTCCCATCTTCCACCACCAACACCACATCCGTGCTCTCGTCTCCAGCTTCTCACGCGAATCGACAAACCCCCTCTTGTTCTGTGACAATGTTCACAGCAGTGTCATCCCCCCGTATTGAGCAGCCTCAATCTCTCTCTCTCTCTCTCTCTCTCTCTCTCTCTCTCTCTCTCTCTCTCTCTCTCTCTCTCTCTCTCTCTCTCTC